AAAGGGGGGGGGGGGGGGGGGGGCTCGAAAAAAGGGAAAAAAAGAAAAGAGCGGATGGGTGATGTGCGCCGCCTGTCAACACCCTGGATCGGGGCACATTCCCCTCCCCTCCCCCGGCGATAAGCACGGCAGCGAGTCCGGTCCGGAGCCCGAGGGCCGAGCGAGAAAGAGCCGGCCCGCGAACGAAACTGTCAGCAAGGCATCCTTCCGGCCCCCATCACTGGGAGGCCTGGGCGGCCGGACGCGGCAGCACGATCGTGCCGGTGGCATCTTCCTTCCCCCCCCCCCCCTCCTCCTCTCTGCCCGCCTGCTCCCCCGGGTCCGTTCTCAGGGTCCCCGAGATCGGTCCCGGTAGATTGGCAGCATATGTTTTGAAGGCGCCTGCCTATCGCGCGATGCCCCCCACGCATATATGCGACAGTGGCGTCAAAAATGCGCGCTCCCCGGGCGCCCAGGGGCGGTTGTGCGGCGTGACCGCGATCGCGTGACGATGCTGTTTTTGTTGCCAGGGCGCCATTTTTCGGCCGTGCTCTTCGTCCCGGGCCACTGGCCCACCCCGGCCACTCCCGCAGACAGAGATCTCCCCCCCCTCGCGCCTCCTTGCCCCTGCCTCTCCTCCTCCCTCTTCCTGTCCTTCTGCCTCGCCTTCGGCTCGCCCCTCTCCCTTCTCCCCTCCCCCGGCGCTGTCTCGGTTTTCTTTCTTCCCCCCCCCCCCGGCGAAATGTCCCTTTCCCGGGCCAGCAGCGTGGTGAATGCTTCCGCCGCATCTGCGGCATCTGCGGCGGCGGCGGCGGCGGCGGATCCATACATGCCCAGCCTCCTGTCGCTGCTGGTGTTCGACCCGTCGCTCGGGCCACATGAGGACGACCAGCACGAAAAGATCCTCTATTATTGGCCCGCAAACGCGCCGATGGACGACCAGCTTCGCGATGCCGGTGTTTATGAGGGGATCATCAACTTCTGCCGGTACTGCACTTCCCTCCCTCTCCCCCTCAACCCACACGCACATGCGCATATGCATGCACGCATGGTCACACGCCTCGATGCATGGACACCTCGCGCCTTGGATCTGTGTTCCGCATGCACGCCTCCCATCCAGCTGACAAATCCTCCTGCCCGTCCAACCGTCTTCCGAAAGAAACTTCTCCACCACCGAGCCATGCCATGCGATCCACACCAACCGGCGCCGTGTCGTCCTGCTCGAGCCGGAGCCTGGTATCTGGTTTGTCATGGTGCGCGCGGCTGCCTGTGCCCGAACATCACTGCATACACACACACACACACACACACACGCACACATACATACATATAGTCCCCATCCATTCGCTACGCCCCTCATGCTATCTTTCTTGCTCCTTCTTCTTGCGTTTACTGCCCGTCTCGCTGACCAGCCCCTCTGCACTCGACGCCCGGATGTGGGCCCGACAGTCGGTCCGACTTCGGTCCTCCCCGCCGCCTGCCGTCTCCCCGGTCAAGGGAAACTCCAACGAGACCCGCCACGCCAACGACCAAATCATCGAAAATGACATTACCGGACGCCAGCTCGAGGTGAATGACACCCTGCTGCAGTCCATCCTCCGGCAGCTGTATGCCCAGTTCAAGGTGCCTGCTGTGGCTGTGGGGTTTCCCCCTCCCCGAGGGGCTCTCTCTCCCTCTCTCTCTTAGCCTTTCTCTCCCTTAGCCTTTCTCTCTCCCTTAGCCTTTCTCTCTCTCTTAGCCTTTCTCTCTCTTAGCCTTTCTCTCTCTTCGCCTTTCTCTCTCTTCGCCTTTCCCCCTCTCTTCCCCGCCATCTGTGCCTTCCTGGCTGACTGACGCCACTGCAGTTTCTTCACGGGTCGCTCCGGCACATTCGCACCCGGAATCCAAGCATCCCGGACGATGTGGCGCACCTTCGCCTAGCCCTGAACCGCGGATTGAGCTCCTTCGTGATGCACCACCTCGCCGATCCGGTGGCCCTGCACAGGCTGCTATATCGCGATATCCGCTCTCTCCTCCCGGCCGGCGGGATCGACTACCAGCCGATGCGCATCGCGCGCTTCGTGCAAATCCACTGTGTCCTGGCCGACATCCTGACCGTGCCGGTGCGCGCCAGCTTCATGGACACCGAGTCGCTGGAGGTCCCATTCGACTCGGAGCTGGACTTCCAAGACATGCACCTCCCTCGCGGAACACAAACCGTCGTCATGTGGGACAACTGCATGGTCAGCAGCTCGTTGGAATTCAGCGACACGGCCCTGCTCTTCGGATACATTCACCGCCGGCTGTCGACGCAGGAGAAGCCCCAGCCGGTCAACTCGCGCGAAAAGACCCCGGTGCGCGGCCCTTGCCCTCCCTGGCAGCGGGGGCCCCTTGCCATTTCGTCCTCTCGCGGGGCCCGCCCTCCCGCTGCGCCTGCCACCTCGGGGGATGCCAAACTAACGTCCTGCGAGCCATGTGCCCTGCCTTCCGGAAACTTGCCACCCTGCCAGTGCGTTTGCCTTGGGCCCGGGCTGTGATTGTTTGGCCTTTTCCCTTTTCGCTCGGCCCTGACCACTCATTCGCTTGATGCCCATGCACTTGCCCTCGGCACCGCAGGATCCCCGGGTCATTCATTGAAGGCAACCGCGGCGAGCCGAACTACGTCTACCTCGGCCCCGACTCGGCGCCCCACCACTTGGTCTTGTATAAGGTGCGCCCTTCGATGGGGGGGGGGGGGGGGCTCTCCCCGCCAGGGATGGGACTGCGCTCCCCCCCCCCTTCCTTCCTTCTCCCTGTCCCTGCCTCTCTGCTTGGCGCAATAATCGGCCCCGAGTCTGCCGAGATGCCGGGCAAAGAGTCCGCAGGCATGCGGACAAACCAGCAAATCCCAGCTACAGCCCAACGCCCGCCAGCCAGCCAGCTGACACCCGCCCACAGATGTCCCGTCTATCGCTCGCCTTGCTGTTCCCGGTGTCGGAGCTGCCAAACCGGGTGCCCGGCACCTCGCTGCTGCTGGATCTGAGCCAGAAGATGGAGAACTCCCTGCACAAGGCCGTGTACAGCCTGCAGACATTCGGCGCCACGGACAGCAGTGCATCCGCCGCGTCCAAGCCATCCAAGTGCGTTCCTGACGTGCCGGGCGGCGCGAATCGCTGGCCGGTGAGGGTGAAACCAAGAGGGAGCGAAGTCTCAATGCTCCACTGTGTGTGTGGGGGGGGGGGGGACGGACGCGAAGGGACGCGAAGGGACGCGAAGGGATACTCCTCGCCGTGCCTGCAGCCGCCTGTCGCGATGGCGCCGGGAAACGGTGTCGAGCTGGGACAGACAGTGGAGCGCGACTTTCTTCGCTTTTCTCCGGCCCCGTTCCGGCCCATCGAGAAGTAGCCTTAGTTGCGCAACCGCGCCTCGGACCCCGGTCAACTGCCTCCCCCGGCTGCCGCACACCATCGTGACTAACGCAGGCTGTCGACATATACTATCCCCTCCCTCTGTCCTGGGGGGATTTCCAGCACCTCGGACCTCCATTACATCTATACCAGCGACGAGAATTACGCTGTCAAATGCACTTACCCGGGTCTGGACGCCTCGGCCGACGGTGGCGCCGCGATGCCGCCCCCGCCGCAGGATATCCTCACTCGGAACCTGCCCTTGCACCCGGACGCGGCCAACATCATGGCCGACATGTTTGGCCAGATCCACATGTGCGTTTGGCTTGTTCCGCCTCTCAGGCCCCACCGGGAGCCTGAGCCGCGAAGAGGCGCCAGAGAGTGAGGGGGGGGGGGGG